GTGGTGGACTGTATTTAGCTCATGGGCCATACTTTGTTGACCCCTGCCTATTCTGTAGTAGTGCCGTCAAAGAGAACTTTCTGTTCTGAAAATGTTCTATATTTGTGCTGTTAAATACAGTAGCCACGAACCACATGTGGCTACCAAGCACTTGAAGTGTGGCCAGTGTGACTGAGAAAATGATTTTTCAATTTTATTTCATTTTAATTAATTTAAATTTAAATAGCCATATGTGACTCCTGCACTGGATAGGATATTATTTTCTGAGGGCTGCTGTAACAAATTACTACAAATTGGAGGACTTAGAACAACAGAAATTTGTTTTCTCATAGTTCCAGAGACCAGAAGTCTGGAATCAGTGTTAGCAGGGTCATGCTGCTTCTGAAGGCTGTAGAAAAGATTCCTTTCTTGCCTCTCTCCTGAATTCTGGTGATTTTTGGCAACCCTTGGTGTTCCTTGGTCTGTAGATGCATCACTCCAGTCTCTGCCTCCATTGTCACATGATGTTCTTCCTATGTGTGTGTTTCTGTCTGTCTCCAAATCTTGTGAGAACCTGACTCAAGAAAAAAAATTTTATTTTAAAGATGTGGGGTACAAATCAGGATTAGGTAGATAAGTGGTCATTGTACAGTAGACCAGACTTTTTATGACCAGTCATCACATTTCTCTCCAATATCTAAAACATTTGGGTAAGATAAGATACTTTAATTGACACACAACTGTGCCGGGCACAGCACTTTGGGAGACAGAGGCAAGAGGATTACCTAAGCCCAGGGATTTGAGACCAGCCCAGGCAATATGACGAGACCTCATCTCTACAATCAAAAAATTAGCTGGGTGTGGTGGCATGCACTTGTCACCTTGTAAGGGCACCAGTCATTGGATTTAGGGCCCATCCTAATCCTGTATGACTTTATCTTTACTAATGACACCTATTTCCAAATAAGTTTGCATTTTGAGGTTCTCGGTAGACATGAATTTTGGGAGGATGCTAATCAACCCAGTGTAGATGGAATAGCTCTAGAGCAGTGATTCTCACCTTTACTGTGCATCAGAAGCACCTGGAGGGCTCGCTGAACCATAACTTTCTGAGCCCCATCCCCAGACTTTCTGTTTGGTGGTCTTCCCTGTCTAACAAATGCCCGGTAGTTTTGATGTTGCTGGTCCAGGAACCACACTTTGAGAATCACTGCTCTAGAGCACTTGCATCAGTTTGCTAGGGATACCATAACAAAGTACTACAAAGTGGGTGACTTAGACAATAGAAATGCATAGTCTCAGAGTTCTGGAGGTTAGCAATCTGACAACAAGGTACTGGTGGGGTTGATTCCTTCTGAGGGCTGTGAGGGAAGATGTATTCCAGGTCTCTCTCCTTGGCTTGTAGATGGCAGTCATCTTGTTCACATGGCATTGTTCCTATATGTGTGCCCCTATGTCCAAATGTCCCCTTTTTATTAAGAAACCAATCATATTATATTAAGGCCCACCCTAGAGACCTAATTTTAACTTATTGCCTCTATAAAGATCATATCTCCCAAATAAGGTCACATTATGAGCTACTGAGGATTAGAATTTCAACCTATGAAATTTTTGGGGTGTTGTGACACAATTCAATCCTTAATAGAGCCTGATAGTGCTTTTGGCACCTTGAGCCAAGGGGTGCCTTCTTGAAGCCCCTATGCACAAGATGACCTTGGTTGTCTTGTCTTTGAATTCTGGATGGAAGTTGACCTGGATGAGAGCTTCCAGGACTGGGAGGCAGGAGTCTTGGCTTCCAGTTCTACTCTGTTAACATGTGACTGGGACCTTGGACAAATCACTTGTCTTGAGGCCTTAGTATCTCCCTTGATTAGCTCTGGCAACCTGTGATTTCCAGGTGGCAAGACAAGATTCATTTTTAGTTCTCAGTCTCCATGCTGTTTTGCAGTCTCTTGATTTGTGCTAATGAGACAGAGGCTTGGAATTTGGTTTTATAAGACTCATTAACTTTATTTCTGTGCTTTCTTTATCAAATTTTCATTCATTCATTTATTAATCCTTTTATTTAATTTTATTTTTTATAGAGACAGAGTCTCATTATGTTGCCTAGGTTGATCTCAAACTCCTGGCCTCAAACAATCCTTCCACCTTGGCCATTCAGAGTGCCAGACTTGCAGGCATGAGTTACCATACCTTGCCCATTCATTAATTCAACAAACACTTATTGAGTATCTGTTGTGTAGTAGTATCTTGTTCAACAGGACAGGGTATCAACTCTTCTGAGTTCAATCTGGTGGGGAGATAGACATATAACCAAATAATCAGAAGCACATTTGATGAATGTAGTAGCTGCTATTAAAACTTTTTAATTGGGGAACCATTAGGCTGAGATGACTTCAGTTCTTTAGGTTGCTACATAAGCAAACTGAAGCCCAATGTAAACAGTAAAGCATCACTAGTGACTTTACCGTTAGGAACCTCCAACTAACTTCTAACTAGGGGTTTTTCATTCTAACCAATCAACTGTGTTTTCTTTGTCTTGCTTCCGCAAACAATATGAGACCTCATCTCTACAATAAATAAAAAAATTAGCTGGGTGTGGTGGCATGTGCTTGTAGTTCTTGCTCCTTGGAAGACTTAGGTGGAAGAATCTCCTGAGCCCAGCAGGTCAAGGCTGCAGTGGCTGTGAGCATGCCATTGCACTTCAGCCTGGGCGACAGAGTGAGACTCTGACTCAAAAAAGCAAACAAATAAGCAAAAACCCTACCCCTTGACTAATTAATTTTTAATTACCTTCCCACTCACTTGGTTGATATCATGATAAGTAAGAGAAAATGACTTTTGAATTAGTTCATTGATGACAAAGTCTTCTAAGGAAGCAGTGTTTTATATACACACAGATACACATGCACACACCCACCCAGCTGCCAACATGCAAACACGTGCCTCCCATGGCGTGTGTATCTACACTGATCTGCATCTCCTAGGAACACAAACAACCCTGCATGGAACTTGTCACATGTTCAAAAGCTCTTATCTACACAATTGTGCATACATAGCAGAAAACCAAACGAAACACACACACACACACACACACACACACACACTCACACACACACACACACGAAAATTCAAAAACCAAAACCTACCAGACCCTCAGATGACTCTTAAGTTTGGAAGGATGGAGACAGGAAAAAAAATTTTTTTAGTTTCCATGCATTAAGTGCTCGGTAAATGATTGGACTTGTTTTAAGCACTTTACATATACCATCTTGCCTAATCTTCCTAACAGTCCTACGAAACAGATATTAATACCCCAACTGTTTCCTACAGGAAGACTGAGGCTGTGGTAAAGTCCCAGTGCCCTGAGGGATTGTATGCACACCAGAGTTTGGAAGCCTTTTGATGTAGCTTGCCAAGGTCACACATCTGGTAAATCACAGAAGCAAACGTTAAGTTCAGCTGTGTTCTGACGGCAAAACCTTTGATCTTAACCACTGAGATCGTATTTGTCTGTAATTTGTTAAAAAAAAAAATTAAATGACACTAAAGTACAGTAAGGAAGACTTTACCCAAGACCATCTTGATAGGTGTAGAAACCACTGTAATGGAATTTTGGAGTGAGGGAGAGAGACTGGAATTCAGAATGGGCAAGTGGGGATTTATAGCTAAGAAGCAGGATGGAGGTTAGTGGATGGAAAATTTCTAGGAGGATATATCAGGGGGAAGGGGAATTCTGGCTAAACTGACCTAGCAGGATTCTTGCTGAAGATGGGCCAGGGTGATCAGACATTACTTGGGGGATGGTGTAGGCCGAGGACCCTGATCAGATATCCAGGGTGATCACATGACAAGCGTGACAGTTCTTGCAAAATTGAATTATTAGGGTTCTTTGCTAAAACTAGATTTTACAAGGAAGTACATAGATGGGCCTAGGAGAAAGTTCAGGAGCCTGACTAAAGTTTGGTCAAGCAAAGAATCTTTGTTAGTTTCCACAACAGGGATGGAGAGAAGAAACATGAATTTAATTTTTATTGAACAGCAGCACAAGACATCTTCCACGTCATCATCCTCAGCTTAGAAGGAGGAGCTATTCTTTTTAAAAAATGGTGGTAAAATGTACACAACATAAAATTTAACTTTTTTTTTTTTAATTGAGAAAGCAGGATTTATTGAGAGGACAGAGAAGCTCCCACAGTGGGAGGGGATCCGAAGTGGTTGCCCCTAAAATTTATCTTAAACCACGTTTAGGTAAATAATTCAGTGGCATTAAGTATTTTATTATAAAACATTATTACTTAAAAAAAAAAAGACAGTGTGTCACTTTGTCACCCAGGCTGGATGGAGTCATTGGCATGAACTCACTGTAACTTCAAACTCCTGAGCTCAAAGGATTCTCCTGCCCCAGCCTCCCGAGTAGCTAGAACTATAGGTGTGAGCCACCATGCCTAGCTAATGTTTATTTTTTGTAGAGATGTGGTCTCACTATACTGCCCAGGCTGGCCTCAAATTTCTGGCCTGAAGCCACCCTCCTGCCTCACTCACTCAAAGAGCTGGAATTACAGGCATGAGCCACTGTGCTGGCCATTACAATTTTTTAATTGATACATAATAATTTATATAAGGAGTACATATGATATTCTGATACATGCATGCAATGTGTAATAATCAATTCAGGGTAATTGGAATATGCATTACCTCAAATGTTTATCATGTCGTCGTGTTGGGAACATTTCAAATCTTCTTTTTTACCCATTTTGAAATATACAATGAATTATTCTTAGCTATAGTCATCCTTCTGTGCTATCAAACACTAGAACTTACTCCTTATATCTAGTTATAGTTTGTAGCCATTAACCACCCTCTCTGCAGCCCCTCCATCTCTGGCATTCTTTCCAGCTTTGATAACCATCATTCTGCTCTCTACCTCCGTGAAATCCCCTTTATTATCTCCCGCATATGAGGGAGAACATGTGATATTTGTTTTTCTGTTCCTGGCTTATTTCTTTCTTTTTTTTTTTTTAAGGCAAAGTCTGGCCCCAAATTTTAATTTGTAATTTTAGCATGTATCTCATGCAGTTTGGGGGAGCATCAAACTAAATCTACAATTGCCAGAAGACTTGTTACAGTTTAATGCACATTTACTAAAATGTGTACATTTTTAATGTTCATGATAAATGCAGTTATGACCCTATGACACTTTTGGCATTCTTTAAGAAAGTACATTAAATTTTACTACAGAAATATTTAGGTTACACTTGTGCTCAAGTAATAATAAAACATTTTTTTTTTGTGATCTCATACATTCTCTCCTCAGGTCTGGTCCATCTCCTGCATGCTTGGAGCAACCTTTGGCTATGTGGCTGGCCCTGTCATTTCACCACTCTGTATATTCTGGAATAGAAAGCAATTTACATACAAGAACAAATAATTGGAACAAAGGGAGAAGATATTTCTTTGTGCAGATTCCATAAGGACTGTGCAGAAATGTATATGGTCAAAGTCAAGCAGTTCCATTTACAGTACTGTTTTTTATGTAGTTACAACATGATGTGATTGTAGCTTTTTAAACTATAAGACCCCTGAGAGATTGTACCTTCTAGTTGAAATAAAGTATTTATAATAGAATGTGGCTTCAGATGCTGTTTACTACTTCGTATACCTTTTTTTTTTTTTTTTTTTTGAGTTGGAGTCTCACTCTGTCACCCAGACTGGAGCGCAGAGGCTGATCCCGGCCACCGCAGCATCGACCTGCTGGGCTCCGGCGATCCTTCCGCCTCAGCCTTCCAAGTAGCTGGAACCACAGGTGTGCGCTACCATGCCCGGCTGATTTTTTTATTTATTGTAGAGATGAGGTCTCTACCCACGGGCTCAGGCAATCCACTCACCTCAGCCTCCCAAAGGCGCGGGATTACAGGCTGAGCCATCCAGCCTGGCTGCTTTGTAGACCTTTAAGAAACATTCTTAATGAACTTTATAGAATTCCGAGGACAGGTTTTTTTTTTTTTTTTTTTTCTTTCAAGTTGTGAACTGCTTTGTTATCTACAAGAGGTCTGGGCATAGCTGTAACATTTCATATGCTTTCAAGAGAAATGGACAGTTGCTTTGGCCACTGAAGATGCTTCTCACATAATCAAACAACAGTTTATACATCTTGATCCTATTCTTTTTTTACTGTGTGTTTCTTTGGAGTTAAATGGCTATGATAGCATCATCAAAAACAGACTTCAATCCCTTCTGGGTTAAAGTTGAACGTTCCACATAGCAGCATGCTCCTATCTCTTTCACTAGTTTCTGTCCTTGCTCCACACATATAGGCCTTTCTTTCATATCATTCAGTCTTGCTAAAGTTTTGGGGTCATCCCGGAGACCAATCTGAGTTCCTATTAATAAAAAGGGAATATTTGGTGCATATTCCTTAAGTTCCGGTACCCACTCTCTTTCACGTTTTGAAATGAAGCTGGATTTACCACTGAGAAGCATATAAGGAAGACATTGGTCATCGGGTAAGATAAAGGCCTCAGACGGTCATAGTCTTCCTGTCCGGCCGCGTCATAGACTCCCAGGAGGTACTGCTTGCCCCCCACGGTGACGCTGACTGCGTGGTGGTCGAAGGTGGTGGGCACGTACTCCTCCGGGAAGGCGTCGCTGGCATAGCTCACGAGTAGGCACGTCTTGCCCCCCGCCGGGTCGCCAACCACCACGCACTTGAGCATCAGCGCGCCGGCCCGTGAGCCACGTTGCGGCCGGCCGGCTTCCGGGCATAGTGCCCTCGGAGCCCCGGCCCCGGCCCCCCGGCCCCCCTGGGGGGG